GATTTTTTATGTGGGTATTTTTATATTTTCCAAGGTCGGGGGAAAAAACTGCAAAAACCTTTTTCCACATTTTTTCGACGCTTTAAAAGTATATTAAAGAACTTATGTCATAAGACTTAATTTTATCGCACGAGGACAATTTAATGAAGTAATGGACGAGTGCAAAAATTCTATTTAATTTGGTCGAATTTTAATTTAGATAATTGGTATCACAGTCATTGGTTTGAAGGGTTAATATCAAAATCGATTTGACATGGCGTCCTTAATTTACTTATTTACAATAAGCGGCTGTTAATGTTAAAGAAAAAAAGGATTTTCTTTGGTGTTTTATTTATTGCCAGAAAAGTCTCGTAAGTACTAGAAAAATCATAAAAATATTATAACCAATATGCAAAACATTATTTTACTAGTATGCTGTTTAAAGTAATCAACCTATAAAATCAAAATTTTGGGTGGGGTAAAGTACCTCATTACAGCACCGAAAGCGGTGTTACAATGAAGTCATTATGAACGCAAAATAGATAAAACGCTTATTCCTACTAGGAAATTGGGAGAAATACAATTTATATCCTCTATCTTTCATCTTGCCCATCCTGTCCCATTGGCTGGCAAACCCTTAGAAAGATAGATAAATTAAAACAATTTGATTAAATATTAATTACTTACATTAAAAAGTTATTTTATTTTAAAAAAATCTGCCCTAACAAATTGTACGAAAAATAATTATATTTAGTAAAATATTATCTTACAAAAATGATTTTTTAACTATAAAATTGAAAATTTATACTAGGTAGGTACTCTCTTAAAATGAATTAGTCCCTGAATCCGAAAATGTCGTCAAGTCAATTTTCCATATAATATGGAATTTACTATAGATATCTTAAAAACTGCTCTACTTTCATATTTTTGGTTAAATGTTGGGGACACTATGGTATCCCATGGTTAACCATGGGATTTTAACTATAAAATTGAAAATTTATACTAGGTAGGTACTCTCTTAAAATGAATTAGTCCCCTGAATCCGAAAATGTCGTCAAGTCAATTTTCCATATAATATGGAATTTACTATAGATATCTTAAAAACTGCTCTACTTTCATATTTTTGGTTAAATGTTGGGGACACTATGGTATCCCATGGTTAACCATGGTTTAAGTGAAAAAGCAGCCACTAATAACTTTGGTAAAAAGTCATTTTTAAAAAGTAGATAATGTAGAAAAATCTATAAAGGTTTCTGGAAAAAGGGAGTATTGAGTGAATATAAATATATAGAATACAAACAGCGAAGTTCCAATGCACTTCATTTCTAAAACTAAATCCAAATCATTTATCTTCAAAACCTGACTTGATAGTGAAATTACTCAAGTAATTAAAATTGGAATTTTAATTTATATCCTAGTTAAAATGATCTTGAAGCTTAATCAATAATTAATTATATTTGTAATTAAAGTTGGCATTACCGTAATAACATATTACCCAATAAAATGTCGCATTGCATAGATAGCACGTCGTCTAGGTCTGATAGACATAAGTGATAATATTAACAATATTATTTTTTGCTCTTTTTGATGCGGTTTTAAAAGCTAAAACATGGAATTGGATTTTAGAAAACGTCTTTAATTTTGCTAAAAATATACTTAAAATCGATACATTTCTACTGTGACTGATAAATGACTTAAAAACGTTTGAAATGCTAAAATAATTTGTCTTGCGTTAGCCAATTAGACGCACAAAAACTGGACAGTTAAGTATAGAATTAGCAATTTGATTAATTAGAAGAATTAACGTGTCTCTGCATAGACTGGCTTAAATGAGATTTCTTCTTTTTCCTGAGGCAATTTTTGACTTAATTCGCTCATTACTATGCACTGTTACTTTAATATCGAATTCAATTAGCTCGCAGGAATGCAGGAGCATCATAAAAATGGGCGACATACAGTTCTCAGATATGCCACTTCATTTTTAATAGGTATATACGGTAGTTCTGCGTTATTGTCTGGTGCTTCAACATCAAGAAATATGGCACTTTTTTTAATAGGCTACATCTAAAATAAATTTCAAATGGTGGCACGAAATGCGTAAATGGAATTTTCCTACATTTAAACTTACATTTCCTTTGGTTTTACACTCATTACTCTAAATAATGAGCCAAGTACCGAGGCGATAAACGCGATATCATTACGAATAATTGATCATTAAATTTTCTTATTAAACTGTTCCGCTGTTTCGCAGGTGTCAAAAATCGGTGAGAACTTCATGACACGCATTAACATACTTGCGAAACAAAGGCATCCAAGTGCCCCCTTAGTTTAAAACCAAACCTAATACAATGGAGTACCGTAGGAAAACTATTAGCTGTCATAATATAGTTCGTATTATATTGCTATGTGGTCCTAATTGCGGCCTAACGATCCATTTAGTTTGGTAATAAATTTGCAAAAGTTGTCCATAAAGTTTCAGTGCAGATTTTGTTACCAGGCAAATATGGAATATAAAGTGTCCCACCAAAAAGTAGCATGTAGAATTTCTTCTTATTTTGATAATTTTTTTACTAGCTATCTTAATATAAACTGCGCACCACTCAATGTGTCTTGACCAAAAAGTTCGTTCTTTTTTAAAACGACATAACTTTTTTGTTTCTTGAACCTCTGGCAATTCATGATATAGATATGAAGCTCAAGGTTCTTCAAGTAAATTTCCTACATGGTGATATGTTAAACGGTGAAAATTTTCAATAACTTCATCCAAGCCCCGTTTGTAAAAAAATAATTTTTTTCTCGTTTTTACTTTGAAATAATGAAGTATTATGTCTTACCTTGAAACACTTTTCAAATTTTTCGAATTGGAATCGTAGCAACGAAAATATGATTTTTTTTCTAAAAGAGTACATTCAAGGCTTTTTTGCAGGCAATCGAATCGCAATTCGAATTTTGATTCTTAGTGATTTTGGTTTTATCTGAAACTTAAATTTGACAACTGAATCACAATCAGGAGGTCAAAATTATAAAGAAAACATGTCACGAACGTAAATATCGGTTCAGGATTGGTTTTCGCAAATTTTCACCAAAATGTCATTTTAAAAAAGTTGTCTTTGCTTAGGCCCCCTCTGAAAATAATGGAAGTTTGTTGCTTGTCGCTTCTTCAGAATTATTCAAGGAACAATCTTTCACCATCTAATCTCCTTGTTTTTAAAAAGACTGAGTGTATTGCCTACTAAAAAGCCTTAAATGCACCCTTTTTTTAAAAAAATCATATTTTCTTTGTTAAGATTCCAATAGGAAAAAATTGAAAACCTTGTCAAGGTAAGACATAATATTTCATTATTTCAAAGTAAAAATGAGAAAAAAAATATTTTTTTACAAACGGGGCTTGGATAAAGTTATTGAAATTTTTGACCGTTTTACATATCACCCTGTACAAAATTTACTTGAAGAACCTCGAGCTTCATATCTATAGCATGAATAGCCAGAGGATGGGGCTAGCAGAAATCACAAACCAAAATAAAATCGTTCAAGAAACAAAAAAGTTATGTCGTTTTGAAAAAAGACGAACTTTTTGGTCGCGACACATTGAGTGGTGCGCAGTTTATTAAAGTGGTTATGCCAGTTGAAGAAAAAATGGCAAGATTTAGTGGTGCCTTCAGAGAAACACATTTTTTTCACTGAAGATGAAGAAATGAAAATCGAAGCAAATTTTAAAATGGTAGGCAAAAATACTATAAAAGATGTTGAAGTGCCGTTGAAGAATGAACAAAACTTTCTAGTGTTTGTATGACGGTATGTTTCATAACTTTATTGTTATAAACAAAAGTTCTTTTTCTCTAACTTTTTATAACTTTAGATTGTCGTTTAACAAAAAACTACATAAAGCATATTGAATAATAAATACCATTAGAACAAAAGACCTAGACATCATTTTATATTGTGCGACATTTATTAATGTTATTACGTTAGTTTTAATTACAAATTACAAATGTATAATCGCTTGGTTTTTATTTTTTTTCTTTCTATTACATTACAATTAGTTTAACACTTTTACAGTATTACCAAGAGAATGTATGAAAATCATCGTTATAAATTTTTTTGTAAGGATCATTGCAAACACCTTTACTATTTGACCTTTCATTGCCAGTAAAAATGCAGGCGTAACCTTATATATCCTTCACTAAATGCGATAACAAAAAAATACCTTCCTGCATGCATATAGAATAGCAATAATTATTTTATTTTTTAGTATAGATTGTCATTTTGTGTATAAATCAATGATTTTACGACTAATAAAATATGTTTTTACTATTGCAACTGCATTTTAATGAAATGAATTGTTCAGTGTTGCCAATGGTGTTGACATAATTTACACACAGATTTTGTCAAAATTGCACAATTTTCCCAACTATTCCACACATTTGGGATTTTGGTTTTGTTAGGTTTCTTTGGTGATTACCGCAGAAAGAGTTTCTGAGGTGAATCACCACAAAAACTATTTCTGCGGTAATTACTGGTGATTACTTAAAGACGTTTTCAAAAACTTACTAGATTACTTACTTTGTCAAAAAGTCTATTGTTATAACCGGTTTTAAGTTACTCGATAACTTACGCTTGCAAGTTTCCAAAAACACCAGATTTTTTTAATTTGCTGTATATATAGAAATCTGCACAGAAATTCGTCCATATAACTAAATAACTAAAATGCGCATTTGCAAATATATCTATTTAAATGCTTGTTATAAGCATTGTTAATTTAAAGATAAAGTTTACATGCAAATTCCACACATTTATGTATTACACACAAATTACACACAACAAAATAAATTCCACACAATGCGTGGATTTCCACGTACATTGGCAACACTGGAATTGTTTACATTAATTAATAAAACCACAAAGCATATGATTTAATTTAGTTTACTAACAGAGTGGCTTAACTTAAGCAACGTAATGTAGGCAAGCAATGTGCTTCGATGCAATGGTGGTTGCCTAACATTTAATATACGTAAAGGTACTTACACTGAGTTGGAGCGGATCTCTCTCATTCTTTCCTCCTTCGAGGGCGAGCTTCTCGAGTTTTGGCTTCTCTCGTGCGGAATCCTGGCCCGCATGCTCTGATTGATCCTCATTTGCCTCGGTTTCAGAGGCGGCGGCGACTCCTTCAACCCAACTTCTGTCATGGAGGACCTCTGCTGAGCCATCTGCTTCTTGTTGTGCGGTCGTAGAGGTTCGGGGCGGTACTGATCGGAGATGCCGTTGACTTTTTGGCTGACCGCGATGCTGCCGTTCAGCACTAATTTTTGCGTTGTGGGGTACTTGGTGTTCGATCGCTCGGCGTAGCCCTTTTGGCTCGGGAAGCCCAGGATGTGTTCCGGCTTGTCGGACTTCAACTTCTCCGGGTGATAGGGCTTGCTGCTGACTTGTTGGAAAATTTGCTCGCCCGTTTTAGTTTTAATGGAGGATCTCACGCTGGCGTACCGTTCTGGGAGTCCCACGGTTTGTTTAATAGGCGAATATTTAGATTGCTGTTGCTGTTGAACCTGCGGTGATGCTTTTTGATGACCGGCATTCTCCTTAAGCCGCTCGTTGAACTCGGGCTTCCAATCCGTCTCGCATTCAGGTGGTGGAGGGGGTAAAGGATCATCACAAGTAATGACCTCGTCCTCCAGAACCGTTGGAGGGGAAGGAGGCGGTAAATCAGGACTCGGCACTCTCCTATCTTGAAACAGATCCGGAAAAGCTTGTCTCAGATGAGGGTTCTTCGGCGGTCTTTCAGGGGGTTTATCCGGCACCCAATCATCCACAGAAATCGACGGCCCCATAATCACAGGTCCTAGTAAATCGGTTGATAAACTCCCGCAAGAGTTGCTGTGTTGATGTCTCGCCGTACTCTTATACAAATGATCTGTAGTCTTCGACTCTACAGTTGAAGCCAAGCTACTTCTCTTCGAGTTATTAGCGGAGGCGTAATCCGAAGCTGATGAAGCTCTTCGCGAAGGCAGCTGCACTTTGATCTTCGGAGGGGGTTGCGGCACGATTGACAAGGGTTGCGGCGTTTGGGCGAGCTGCGGCTCCGATCTCCAGTGATTGTTTTTCGAATTGTTGTGGTGCCTTTCGTAGAACGAAAGGAGGGCTTTTTTCTGTATGGCTTTCAGTGTAGGATCAGAAACCTTGTGCTTTTTCTCCGGGTCCAGATATGAGTATTTTTGTTGCTTTTCCAGCTCGGATATTCGGTCTGCCACCGAGAGAGCTGACTGCATCGATAGGGATAACCTGAAAAAATGCGAATAGTTTTAGAATGTTTGCATAAAATTTCTTATAAATTTATGCAATTTAGTACCTGAAGGTAAGTTATTGCTCTATAAAATAGTCGGGTTTACAGGTTGGCAATAAAATTGCGTTTTATACTGGCTATAAACTTATTAACTGACATATTCATTCGGAAATAAGTCCTACTGTTTTGTGCATTTTTTTAAATATTAATGTTTCAAGGTTAATTTAAACAGGTTTACCAGGATTCTACAAATTTCTTATCCAAAAATAATTTACCTACATATACATATTACTTTATTTTAAAAAAGCGTGCTTTAATGATGGTTTAAATAGAATTTTTAACAAAAATACAAAATAATAAGCCATATTTAGATGGCGTTTTTTTGTCTAAGCTAGATTTTAAATAGAATTTTTAACAAAAATACAAAATAATAAGCCATATTTAGATGGCGTTTTTTTGTCTAAGCTAGATTTTTATCGCTTAGATACCTTTTCAAGCCAACAAATTGTGGACTCTCTTGAATTTTACTAGGACGATTTGTAGTACTCTTCAAAACATAACTGGCAAATCTTTTCTATGAAAAGCTAAAAATTTTAGTAACTAGTGTACATCAGGTTAATTAAAAAAAATCGAATATTTTTGTTTTACTTCCGACACTAAAAAATTGGTTCTTAGGCACGTCTACAAAGTGCTCGCCAAATTTGAGATCTTAATATTAATAGAAAGATCCTCCTCATCACAGTTTTTCATTCCCTTATAAAAAAGACCATATTTCATTATTAATTAATTGTTTTTTTTTTGTATTTTTGTAGGAAATTGAATGCTCTACAAAAAAGGACTAATGTGTTCAAGCGATATGATATTCATTTTATGGGAATACACGCACGGGATTGGTATATGAGGGCACGAAATAATTGCAAACTTTTCACTTTTGCTGAATAGTTAACGCAAAATCTACACTACATCTTGGGAAAATTGTTGATTATACTTCATATTATAACTAAAATTTTCAAAAAATTGGCTTACACCATATAGGTAATTTGTGAAAATACTGGATTTGTAAAGACTAAATTTGTAGACTACATTTGTATAAAAAATTTACATAATTTTATTTGGAATTCCAAATTGGAATTGATCTTAAGATCACGTTTATAAATTAATCTATCATTAATTTATTTATGAATTTGTGAAAGATACCTAATTTTAATTAAAATAAGATATCTTTCTATAAATGGAGACAATTGTCACAAAACTAAAATGTGACCAAAATTTCACAATAAATCAATTTTTTGAATGATTAACAGCTGAGTTTTGGACTTGCCTTGTCTTAATATGATTGTTTATCTTAAAACGTTTCGATTAGTAAATTTCTAATTGTCTTCAGGTAATAACTGGAGACAATTAAAGATAATTACTAATCTAAACGTAAGAAAAACAATCAAATTAAGGCAATGCAAGTCCAAAATTACCTGTTAATCATGCTCAGAAAAATTTCTTCAACCATCAGTGTGCTGGCTATATGAACCTTAATTGATGACGGAAATGATGCATATATGTGACTTACGTGCGGATTAAGAATCACGTTGTGACTGCAATATGCGTCAATTATGAATCTCATAATGTTATCTGGGCCCTTAGATATATAAAATTATTATATTAATCATTCGTTTAATTAAGTCTTTATACATATTTTTGTAGGAAATTGAATGCTCTACAAAAAAGCACTGACGTGTTTAAGCGATTACTCTAACTAGAGATGTAAAAAAACGGTTTTTTTTCAGATGTGAAAAAAACATAAAAAAACCTAGAAAAAAACGGTTCTTTTGTTTTTTTTCAAAATGAAATTTTGAGTAAAATGTAGAATTTATTACATTTTTCATTATTGAAAATTTTGACCATGACTAAAAAATCTGATTTCTTATTATTTGGTAGTTTCCACATTAAAAACCAATAGCAATGTAAAACTTCTACACTAATACAAAAAATTAAAGGATAAAATTTTTTTTTGCGATTTTTCGGATAGCTGTATATTTGTTAAAAATGGTCGTATTGGAGCCGTAAAAAATAGCAATTTGAAGCTTGAAGTTTATAGTTTTGAGATTTTTAGATTAAAAACGTGTAACGCTCAATTCTAACGAATACCGTAATAAAAAAAATCGATTTTTTTTTATTTCTTTTTTGGTCCACAGAATGTTCTGATCACCAATGAGAAAATGTTCTACAACAATTTGCTATTGTTTTTTTGAAAAAAAAAATTCCATACTCTACATGAATTTGAAAAATCATGAAAAAAGTGCTTTAGGTAGCTCTTTGAAAAATCAAGCGCTGAATCAAAAATATTATATGTAGTTACTTTTTTTAGGACCAAATCAAAACAAGCGCGGCCCTTATTGGTCAAATCGGTGGTTGTGGCGAGTGCATAACGCGAGACTGTATTTACATTTAATAATTGTCATTTAGTGGCTAATTTTAGTCCATGAAAACATAAAAAATTAGGCAAATAGGACTAATCTTGAAAAAAAAAACAAAAAATGTGAAAAAAAAAACATTTGAAAAAAACAATGAAAAAAAACCTGAAAAAAAAACAAAAAAACGGACCGTTTTTTTTCAAGTCGCATCTCTAACTCTAACCCTTTAAAAGATATTCAAGATCAAAGTTTGAAGAATTTAATAAAAAAGTTGTTTTTTATTAATTTTGTAACTCATTAAAAAATAATTATTGTCAAATGAGTATATTTAATTATTAATCAATTTCATTTCATAAATATGTAAAAGATTTGATTAAACTATTGATTAATAATGAAATATGGTCTTTTTTATAAGGGGTAAAAGAAAAAATTGAAAACTGTGACGAGGAGTATATTCCTATTAATATTAAGAGCTCAAATTTCGTGGGCACTTTCTAGAAGTGCCTGAGAACCAATTTTTCAGTGTCAAAAGGAAAAAAAAATATTCGATTTTATTACATACTTATATTTTTCTAAGCAAGTTTGAAAATTGACGCCATATTCTTGATAGAGGAATCTTTGGCCCATGTTTTCTATAACAAGCTATATAAATCATTATTTGACGTGTCAACCCTTTGAAACACTTTCTTTCAGGTAAATAATTTTGAGAGACTTCTCAAAAAAGCAAACTTTCTTAAAAATATAGTAAATTACCTATTTCCGCCGCTGTTACTGTTGTTGCTTATCCCATTACTTTGCTGATGATCGTTCTGCACCGTATACGTATTAACAGGAAACAACTTCAGTTTATTCGCGTTGTTGTTCCTACATTCCCTATCTTTCCACCCCTCGTGAGCCTCACCTCCCATATACAAAACACTCTCGGAATGATGCCGTTGCGGCGTTTGCACCCTGGCACTGTGCGCTATTAATTGTCTCGAGTTGTTGGTACAAGAACTGCTGGACACCACCGACACGTCACTCATAGAACCGTGCCACTTGAGGGTCTCGCTGCTGGAGGCACTTCCAGAGCTGGTCGTCACAACACTGTCTCTACCTTGTCTGTGCTCGTCGGCTTGCGAGATTTCGTCCCAAGTGTTGGAAGAATGAGGGCGCACCACCACTTCACTGTCGCGTCTCAGCCTGTCCAAGAAGGGGGTAGAGGTGGAGTCGGTGCTACTGACGTAGCTATGATATCCTTCGGATTGCGCGTAGGATATTTGTTTGTGATGAAGGTGCGTCAGCATATTCTCCTCGTGCTTCGGATACATCGAATCCTCGTAGTTTCTCGCGTACTCCATGAAGTCCTCCGTTAAGGGCTTCATCTCTTCGTAGTACTTCGGTTCCTGATACGATCTGGCGTACTCTTCCAAGTCGGCTTGCGTCAACTGCGGCTTCATGCTGATATCTCGTTCTGGCGGTGAAGGCACCACGTAATCCATATCGCCCAGCGATTTGCCATCGTGATCCACGTGGGGCAGATACAGTCTACCGTTCATTTTCTCGAAACGGCTTTCGTACGTCTCCGGCGGGATTTTCTCGCACCGCTCCATCACTGTTTTAAGTTTCTGTAACACACAAATGTCGTCTTGTATAAAGAAAGAGTATAGGAACGTGCATTAAACTGTTTAGATAGCGCGGTATCGACGTTCAGTAAACAACTAAGCAATGAATGATTCATTAACACATACATTAACAAAGTTTATATATATATTTATATTTGTTACGGTATGGATTACTCATTGGTAAAGCCAATAAAAACATTGACATTATGGCATTATAATATGCATATAGGAAAAAACATTCTCACCAAGTTTGAGCTCTTAATATTAATTTTAAGCACTTACTATTTAAATTTAAAGTTTACCGTTTAAAATGCATGTAAAAATATATATATTTTTTCAAATTTCTAATGCTTACCCACCTTTGACAATATTGCAAATCGGTTTAATACTCCTTATGGGGAATTTCAGGCTCTTTAAAATTGCTTTTGGGTTTTTTTTTGTAACTCGCATTGGTTCACCAGTAGGAGTCGTCAAAGGACAGTTTTTGAAAAAAATCATTTTTTTTTATTTTTTCGAGCAAATCGCGAGAAAAAAAGGGCTGATTCATAAAAAAAAAGTTATCCAACCAATATTTAATAAATTTACTGCCATTTTTATAACTGAAAACGTAAGAAATTGATAAATACCGACCCATAATGTTATTTAGATTGATTTTTTCTATTTATTATCATTATATTTCCCTACACTATATAAGAACTTTTTTTAAATTATTATGATTTCTCACTCATAATGAATATGAAAACAACACATAAATTCATAAAAAAACAACAAAACTTTAATCGGAATATACAGAAGGTTATGTAAAATATTTCAAATTTCGCTTCAAAAAATTAAATAATCTTCATTTATATTTTTTGGCTATATGACAGAAAGTTGAAAAATTGCAAAATCCACGTTACAATTTTCTTATTGTTTTTTTATGAATTTATCTGTTGTTTTCATATTCATTATAAGTGAGAAATCAATAATTTTAAAAAACTTCTTAGTCTAGGGAAATATAATGATAATAAATAGAAAAAATTAATCTAAATAACATTATGAGTTGGTAATTATCAATTTCTTACGTTTTCAGTTATAAAAATGGCTGTAAATTCATTAAATATTGGTTGGATAACTTTTTTTTATGATACAGCCCTTTTTTCTCCCTACTTTTTGCGGTTTGTTAGAAAAAATTAAAAAAAAAAAACGATTTTTTTCAAAAACTGTCCTTTGACGACTCCTACTGGTGAACCAATGCGAGTTACAAAAAAAACTCAAAAGCAATTTTAAAGAGCGTGAAATTCCCCATAAGGTGTATTAAACCGATTTGCAATATTGTCAAAGGTGGGTAAGCATTAGAAATTTGAAAAAAAAAATATTTTTTACATGCATTTTAAACGGTAAAACTTTAAATTTAAATAGTAAGTACTTAAAATTTATATTAAGAGCTCAAACTTGTTGAGAATTTTTTTTTCTATATGCAGATTAATATTTTGCTTGAGCACCGAAGAAAACAAAAACTTTGCGGAAATGAATCACCCTAGTATATACAGACAGAATGTCTGGGTGTTTTTGAGGTAGTGTTTCATTTAAATGTAGATAAATGGTTCAAGGTTAAAAAAATGTGTAACAGTGCGATATCTTCAAAATACATGACAAAACATTTTAATTTTGCAATAAATAAACATTTTTTAATAAATAACCAAAAACCGTATATACCATTCTATTTAAAATCATCACACGTATGGGCAACTGAATTGCACACTTAACACATTGTTATCCTTAACAACATACACACAAACCAATTGAATAATGCATGTAAATCATAACTTCACTGTGTTTAGGTACTGCACTTGTTGGCCAGGGCGAGTACAATGATAAACTGTCCGGTCAGGTAGAAATATTTTCCGATATTAGGAGGTAATTTACATAGTAAAATGTTGTAATTCGCTGCATTCTTTCGTTCCAGGAAATACACGCGAAACATTGACTCACTAGAACTCTCTTTTGTGCTGTCAAACCATCATTTGCAAGATTACCTACGAGGGATCAACCAAATAAAAAAATTATATTTTTTTGAGCCAATTCATTTTATTTTTTATCATTGTTTTTGAAATAAAAGGCAAAATTTAATTTAATGTAAAAAAAAATTTAGCTCGGAATCAGTGTGGGTAACTGTAATTACAGCTCACTGTAGAGTCAATTTATGCACATAACCTATAATGTCAAACGTCAACATTATCTACCTATGACAAAATGTCGCAAAGTCAAGAATTCACATGCCACTACAAAACTATTAAACGTTTAAAAAAATAGTATATGTACACAAACAATTTTTTGATATTGTGAAATAATGATATATTACACATTTTTGATTAAAAAAGTCTCCACTCCATGGTAAAAAACCAAAAACGGGTATTGTATTATATATAATAGAATGTTGTCATGAATTCGTAGATATATTTTATCGTTTACTATTTTAAAATGCAGTTGTCGACTTTTTTTTAGAGGACTCAAGTATAAAAATGTTTGATTTTAAGGTTATGTTTATACAACATTTATATTTTTAGATTTCTTAAAAATGGCCAAACTTAAATATAAATTATATTAGGTTAGTTATCTTAAGTTAATTTTAAGTTAATTCTGCACCAGCAAATATACGAATTGAATCCTTTGGTAAAACATGAAAATGCAACTTTTTAGTTATTTAATTACATTTACAATTAAAAACACAATAATTCACCATGATCAGAGGCGGCTGGTGGATTAGACAAGTTCTGCGCAAGTTTGCGAATCCTGCCCCCCCAAATTAAGATAATTCAAATTAAAGTGGTTCAATATTTAATTTACTGCAGTTGTCTAATAACTGTGAAAGTCAATCTAAAAATATAAAAAACCAAATCATTCGTTAGGGTTTAAAACTATTGATTTGTAAAATTTTAAAATCTGTTATAAAATATAATATCTCTAATGTAATGTACCTACCTATCTTGTAATATTAAATTTAAGTTAGTAAATTTTTATTTTATACTTTGTAAAAAACGATTTAAATATTGTGTATTTTAATAATAATCTTGTTTATTTGTTTTATTGTTTACAGTTCCCAAAGAACTATTTGATAATTAAAATGTAATTATTATAGACTAAACTAATAAACAAGATAATAAACTACCCTACTACAAATTGATATCTGTTTGGTCCATGATATAAATTGTAACTCCGACACAGTTAAGTCAGTTAAGAAGTTAAGTCTTAATCAACCATTACTCTAAAAAAATCTATCTAAGTTAATCCTAAATCAAGAACATCTTTATTTCGAAACATAAGTCTATTTAAATTAAGTTTAAATTATTATTAATATTATTGCACGTATGCAAACAAGGAAGCAGGCTTGCAACATAGAGGATATTGATTTTTTGCGGTTATCCACATACCCACATTTTTGTACTTATTTTCAGTACCTACTTGCACTCTGTAACATAATACTCAAATAAAAATCGCACGGACAACAAGCAGAAAGTGGGTTAAACAAGTTTACCGTAATTAATTTAATAAAACTTTTTTGCATCACGCACAATTCAAATATTATTGTGTACATACAAACATAAATAAATCGGTTTTTGCTTTTTGCTGCCTTATTAAATATATCCAAGAAATTAATTATTTATTACATGCACTTATTGTTTTTCTTGTTCCTGTTATTAATCTTTTTAGCATGTGTCACATATTAAGAGGCAACGATGCGATAAATTAAATGTGGCAAAACAAGAAATGCCATGGGCATTATAGAAATTAATTTAATAGGAATTTATTTAAAAATAAGTCACATTTTTTAATCCAATTAACTCAAAAACTTTGATTTAGAATTTTTTTCAAATAAATAGATAAATAGATGTGTATACTTTTTCTTTTACATACTTTTCCAATAATTTTTTTATGTTTCCAAACTATTAAAATTATTTATGATTTTTTTTGTAAAAGAATTCTTGACTTGACTTCCATAGAAGTGCCTGTACCAAAAGTTGCTGGAACAATTTTATGTAGCGAATATCGACCAATAAACTCAGTAGCACCTTATGAAAGTGATGGAAATATGTGTAAAAAAATAGATCAATTTTGTCTAAATAATAGTGTATTTGTGACAATTTAGAAAAAAACACAGTTGTGAATAAACAGTCTTAGTTTATGTTTATGATAAATTTGTTAAAGAAATTGACAAAGGTAAAATTATTATTTCTGTTTTCTTAGACTTTAAGCGAGCTTTTGAAACTGTAAATAGAGAATTATTATTATATTATTAGAGGATTTGGTTCATATCTACCCAATAGATACCAAATTGTCAAATTTAATAGTGTAATGTCTGATAAAATCGAAAACCACTATGGAGTACCTCAGGGTACTGTTCTGGGACCACTGTTATTTTTATTGTATATAAATGATATTTCAAAGTATGCGAAAAGTTGTGATATTTGTATGTTTGCAAATGATACTAAATACTCTAAATTTAGAATTAGAAATTATTTATAAATAATAATTTGAGTCTTAACCTAAGTAAAACTAAATATAAGTGTATTTTATTTAGTAGTAAAACAACTAATTTAGATTTTAGCAACGTAAACCTGGTAATTAATAATATTAAAATTGAAAAAGTGAATGAAATAAAATATCTTAAAAGTTATGTTGAATACTTATTAAGTAAAATTTCAAAAAAAGTATATTTTCTTGGTAGAATTGGAAAGAATCTTTCATTGCAAGTATTATTTATTACTATATAAAGCCATTATAGCTCCACATTTTAATTATTGGTTAACTGTATTGTTTAGTATAAATAAATAAAATAATAATAAAAGGCAAAAACTACAAAATGAAGCATTTAGAATTATTTTTAAATGTAACAGGTATACACTCCAATCGAGATGATGCTTTATATATTAAATTTGTTGAGTGTACACCAAAATGTGGTTTTTAAAACATTATTATTTATATTTAAAGTCAAAATGAGGATTCTTTCTACGTATTTAAAT